TAGTTTTCAAGAGAAAACCAGAGCAATGTGTTCTTACTCTTTCTGACTTCTTTCTTTGGTTATTTCTCTTTGTTATTGCAGAAAAGATACATAACTTGCTTTTTACTAAAGATCACTTTATATTTAAACAACAAATAATAAATAAATTGTGGGTTATAAGTGGGAGAAATCCTATACAGGGTTGCTATGAATCTGAACCGACTTTATGGCCCTTAACAACAACCACAACAAGGCAAAGGTATAGGTTGGCTTTTAAGAAACTTGTTGCCTTTGGTAGAAGCAGTTGTTTCTGTTTGAAGGTGGTAAAAGCTGAGCAAATATCTTGCATTTTCTACTTGTCATTCAGTTGGTTTACTTGTATAACAGACCATTGTTGTGCCAGGTAGATTTAGTTTATTTAATAAGGTAGAGCTAGAGTTGGGCTCCATTAAATGGTAATTCATAGGAACTGTCCTCAGAATGACATAATGACTTGCTAAGATACACATATGACACTTTAAAAACGATCTCCACAGAACTTCTGGTGCTTTGAATGCCATCTACTATAAATACCTGAACATTTTAACATTTGGAACAAGATGAAGTCGACTTAGATATTAAAAGATATTTAACATCTTAAAGAAAGAGGCTAAAAATTTAAAAAAGAAAATGTTGCTGATCTTTTCAGGAGCCTATTGGTGGGATAAATATGCACAGTTACTACTGAAGAATCTAAGAGTTTCATTAAAAGCATAAAAATAATCCAAATTCTGCCACTTTCCCTCTTTTCTTAAAGTCTTTTATTAAAAATGCTAATAATTTGAAGCATGATGAAGAAGTGGAGACACTCTAAGATTAACTAGGGCCTAGGATTTCTGGAGGATTGGCACTGCGGGTTAATGTGCTGAACCGCAAGGTCAATTTGAACTGCAAGGTTTATTTGTTTAAGCTCACCAGCCACTCCTTAGAAACCCTATACAGGGTTGCTATGAGTCGGAACCCACTCAACGGTACTTAGCAATAACAAAAAAACTTCTGGAAGACACAATATCTGATATAACATATTTCTATCATTTAAGATGCCAGATATATTTTTTCTAAAACATAAATGTCCTTCCTTAACCCTTACATGAGCAGAAACTTGTAGCACCATGATGTTATTATTATTGTGTGCCATCAAGTCGGTTCTGACTCACAGTGACACTGTGTTTCTGAGAACAGCCAGTGGATTTGAACTGCTGATACTGTGGTTATATATTGCAGTGGTTACCCTGTAGTGCCACATCAGGGCTTAGCATCACCATTTGAAATAGCTGATTTCAAATAGTTGATTTTTAATATTTTTTTCTTTAAAGCAATGCATTCAGGGATGGAGGCTAGGCAAATTTTTGTGTGTGGTGCACATACACGTTCCCATATACAAGCATGAGCAGGTCCACTTGACAGAAGAAAATCCCAGAGACCATTTGCATGGCAGTAATTGGGACAGAGCAACATATCAGCTATTATCCATTTCAACAGAGACACAACTTACAGTTGAAAGTCACAGACAGCATACTAGTAAGAAACATTTTAGAAAAAATGAAAGGTATATGTAGCACTAATAAAATGAATCTTAATTTTTTCTGCTTTTAGAAAAACATTCTAAAAATATTTTTTAGGAAAAAAATTCTCTCCCTTTAGAATACTTCTCTCTACATCAGGCCTAAGAAGCTAATTGTATTAGTAAGTGTTTTGAGACTGATTTAGCATCATCATCCTTTATGGGGGGTTGAGGAAGGAGAAGGTTATGCTTTTGGTGAGACACTGACATATCTGCTTTGTTGTTGTTGTTAAGTGCTGTCAAGTTGGTTACGACTCCTAGTGACCCTATATACAGTTTCCAAGGAGCAGCTGGTGGGTTTGAATTTCTGATGTTGGGATTTAAAGTCCAGCGCTGGTCCTACAACACCATACCAGGAGCCTGCATATCTGCTTTATCCCTATTAATTTTATTTAAATATTTAATTTTCTTTTTAAAATTTTTTACCATCCCATATTTTCTTCTCCTTACAAATCTCTGTAGTCATGGTGTGGGATAAAGCACTGGACCACAAGGTTGGTTTGAACCACAAGATCTGAGATTCAAACTCACCACTGCTCTTTGGAAACCCTATACAGGATTGTTAGGAGTTGGAACTGACTTAGTGACACTTAATAACAACAACACAAATCCTGACTCAATGATACTTAACAACAAAACAAATCCCTTCAAACATTAGTTCTGAAGCAGTATCACTGACCATTCACAGTGGGATCAGTAATGTTATCAAAGAGAATGTGAATTTGGAGAGTTAAAATTAACATGTGGTTACGAATCGGGCTGCGAACCTTAAGGTCAGCGGTTCGAAACTACCAGCCGCTCTGCGGGAGAAAGATAAGGCTTTCTACTCCCGTAAAGATTTACACCCTCGGAAACCCTGTACAGGGTCGCTATGGGTCGGACCCGACTCGATGGCACTTAACAACAACAACAACAACATATAAAAAACCAAAAATTCATTGTCATCGAGTTGATTTTAACTCATAGTGTTGCTAAGACTGTAAATCTTTATGGGAATAGACAGTCTCAACTTTCTCCCTCGGAGCACATGGTGGGTTTGAACCACCAACCTGTGGTTAGCAGCCCAATGCATAATTTATAACCTGGGATTGTTAAGTCTGTGATGTTGTTTGCCTCCTCTTTTTATAAATAGTTTAAATTAAGTATTAGGATTTTGATAAAATGCAAGATTTTAGAAATCAAGCATGATTTTATATTTCTTGTTATAATAATAAAAAAAAAAACTAAGAAAAATTGGTTTAATGAGAATTTTGCTAGATCACAGAGGAATAGAACAACTTCATTTGGGTTGTTCTAACTAACTATTATTTTGGTATTTCTAACTGTCACAGTAAGACATCTCAATAGTATTTACGATTTGAACTGCTGAGCTCTGTGCAAAGTCTGGGAGATTTTTCCGAACAAATGGAATCAGTGATGTGCACTGAGAGAGGAAATGACCTATAGGAGAGCATCAATCATCCTTCACAGGCCAACCAAGATGAGGTCTGCTTCACTGGGCTGCTCTCAGTAGGTAAACCAATATAGTCTGGAATTTTGAGGTGAGATATACTTTAACAGAATAGTTTGAGGACACTTTGACTTCCAGAGGTTTCAGTGTAAACTACAACCATTCCCAATTTGCAGTTCTTGGAAGAATTTATGGTGGATGAATTGGTGGTATCTATTGGTGCTGTGGGCTAATGCGTCAGATTGCAAAGTACTTAGAACTACAAGGTCGGTGGTTCAAGTTCACCAACTGCTCCCTGGAAACCCTATACAGGGTTGCTCTGGGTCAGAATCAACTCGATGGCACTTAACAACAATATCTCTCCTCTGCAATATAATAATAGTGGTTAAGAGCATGGATTTTAGGGCCAATCAGATTTTAGTGTAAAACCTGAACCTATCACTTACTGTCTCAGTGATGGTGGTACTTATGTGCTGTGGAGTGGCTCCCAACTTATAGGGACCCTGTATAGGGTTTCCAAGGCTATGATTCTTTAAGAGATCAGAAAGCCTCACCTTTCTCCTGCAGAGCGATTGGTAGATTCAAACTGATTTTGAAGGTTAGCAGCCACTAGGCCACCAGCCTTCTCAATTGTAATTCTAATCCTCAAGTTTATTTATATGTAAATGAGGATAATAGCAGCTATCACATGGTTGGCATTAAACTTGATAATGTTTGAGTAGCTTAGCACCTAGTGTTTGTGATTTTTTTTTTTTAAAAGTGCCTTGAACTGAATTCTGACTCTTGGTGTCCTGCGGTGTGTCAAAGCATAAATGAGTTCCATAGGGTTTTCAATTGCTGATTTTTTTCAGAAGTAGTTTGCCAGGTCATTCTTCCAAAGTGTCTCTGAGTGAACTTGAACCTCCAATATTCAGTTAACAGTTAAGCTTATTACACATTTGTATTACCCAGGAACTCTCCATAAATGAAAGCTATTATTAATAATATTCATTCCAGGGCAAATGTTATATATGTTTTCTTATAAAGTTCTGTTTAGTCCATTCCAGCTCATAGTGACCCTCTATAGGATCTCTGGGACTATATATTTTTGTGGGAGCAGAAAACCTTATTGTCTCCTGCAGCATGGCTGCTGGGCTTGAACTGCTGACCTTGTGGTTTGAAGTCTAGTGCTTACTGTACAGAGCCACATGTTTTACTCCTTCTTATAGACTGGAAGCTTCTGGGATCAGGTACAATTTAATTTCAGTTGGACCTTATATCACAGAAATATAAAACTAAACCAAAGCAGTCACCAACAAGTTGATTCTGACTCATGGTGAGTCATGCATTTCAGAGTAGAACGGTACACCATACGGTTTTCAATGGCTTCGGTCTTTCAGGAGTAGACATTTAGGTTTGCTCCCAATATGCCTTTATGTGAATTTGAACCACTAACCTTTAGGTTAGTAGTCAAGTGCTTAACTATTTGTGTCATCCAGGAACTCCCATACTGGAAGGCTGTCAGAAAATGATAATCTTAGGGAGCAGCTGACTGTTACCATACCCTTATAGCATTCACACACTAAAGTAATTTTTCAATCCTTTAGATTAAGAGTCCATTCAAAAAAGATCTTTCTCAATACTCTGGAAAAGATCTGCTTGCTTGAGATGAACGTACTTCCAAATGTGACTAACTTAATTTTTTCCTCTCTGAATGTCTCTGGCCCACTAATAGATTTCTTATATCCTTAATCACTCTTGATCACTTAAAGTCAGTGAGCCTGAACTCATTATTATTACTACATTTATCAGCAAAAGCAGTGGCAACATGCAGGTTTTAAAGGTTTAGAACAAAACAGAAGTCATGGCTAATTGACCATATTATATTATATTTTTAGCCTGAAAAGATTTTAAGTGCAATCATGAGCCATAAAAGAATTCAACACAAATAGCCTTGAGTTTCACCGTCATAAAAGGAAGCTAACCAACCTTTGATTTCCTGGACCTCGAGGCCAGCCTTTTTGACTGATCGATGTTCCATTTCTATAATATAAAACAGCAAGGAGAGAGAAAATCAGAATCCCCAGAAAGAATATTTAAAAACATAATTTTGGTATTAATTTTATGTAGGAAATATTTTTTCAATTGACTAAGTGTACTGTCATCTTTAGAAAAGAGTTAATTACAAACTAGTACTGAACTAGTTTTTAAATACTAGTATTTTAAATACTAGCAAGGTCATCCATGGCAGACAGGTTTCAGCAGAATTTCCAGACTAAAATAAACTAGGAAGAAAGAGAGGTGGACCACTTCTAAATGGTTGTTGTTGTTGTTAATCTACAGTATTTCCAAGTAGTGGCTGGTGGGTTTGAACCACTACCTGTGATTAGCAATCCAGTGCTTGTCCAACAGCACAACATCAGGACTCCAATGGTTAGCCATTGAAAACCTATTCAATAGCAGTGGAACACTGTCAAATATAGTGCTGGCAGATAAGCCCCTTAGGTTAGAAGGCACTCAAAATATGACTGGAGAAGAGCTGCCTCTTTTT